AAAACAACAACAACAACAACAAAAAACGAAAACAAAAAAAACAAAAACAAAAAACAACAACAAGCAAAATAGACAGACACTTAAAAGCAAACAGGCAGGTAAACAAACCCACCCACCCACCTACCTACCTACCCACCCACCAAACAAACAAACAATTTAGCCAGGGAACAAGCAAGCAAGTGATCAATGTTTATCGTTTTGAACACGACGATCCCGCTATTTGGTATTACTTAAAATAGTCCACATAATGCTTAATAATATATCTTTTCCAGGTAACACCAACCATCCTCAACCAATTACTGGACAAAATACGAGAAGACCTACCAGGACTAGAAGAAAACGAAGAAACCGACCAAATCACTAAACACTTCAAAAATACCATCTCTCATATAGAATTAAAGAAGAGGTCCACCGAGGAATCTAGTCCTTCATTTGAAGGCGTCAATATCTGAACCAACTGAACATTATTATAGGTTATTAGCGGTCATCAGTGACTGCCACGCCCTTGTGCATTGGAGTACTCTAAATCTCGATTATTGGATGCCTTTTGCGCATGTTATATGTAATATTCTTTTCTGATAATTATTAGGATTAAGTAGCCGCCAAGCTTTTCCATTTACATTCAAATGTCAGGTTGATATTTCGATAAGTTTTGGATTAAGAATCGAATTGGAAGAGGGACAATAATTTGGTCCATAATGGGCACCGCATGCAAATGTCAGATTGGTATTTCGATAAGTTTTGGAGTCGAGGGTCCGAATGGAAGTAGGACAGAATTAGTCCATAATGGCACCACAACTAACTCATCTTTTAAAAATCTAAACACGAAATATTTTGAAAAATCTCAGAATCTTCACTTAGGTGTTCTTTTTGTGTGCCTTTGGCTCAGATTTAGGGATAAATATTTGTTTAGGTACCCCACTTAGGTATGCTCTGATAAAAATAGGGCTAATCAGGTGATAGTAATATTCATTATTTTTAATCAAAACGACTTTTAATTAAATCAACTGAAAAATAAAGATCATTGCTATATTACGTATGGATAAGTTGTTCTTGAGTATAGCAGTGTTGCTGTGTAACATGGCAAAGATTAATTCACTGTTAAATCTGAATATGAGCAAAAATGAATTGGGTAGTCGATCTCTCTAAAAAGATATTGCCAAATTGAAAATAATATGTATTTCGATGGGGCTCAAACCCACCGACGAAATTTCAAAGAAAAAAGAAAAATCGATTCGACTGTGCCATACTCCCCGAGATATCCGCAGAGTTGAGGCGTCGTATGGACTTCGGACCTGAATGGAAATTAAATACTTCGCACGAAAATGTTCTAGACCGAAGGCATCAGGGGAGAGACTAGCGGGCCCCCACACCATATCTACAGCTAATCTCTTGCACTCTGCCACGCACGGAATCGGTTGAAAATTTGATGTAAAAACAAGTCTAGTCTATCTGAGCATTGTTTTTATGGCTATTGTTATACTGATTCACCAGGAACCGTGGTCCAGGGGACTTTCACACTTTCACACAAGTCAAGTCCGGTTAAGCGAAGTTAGCAATGGGAGACCTGAAACTTATGCCTATTAAAAAATCTATGATTTTTTTACGATCCGTTTTAGTTGAAAAACCGTCGAGAATTATCCCGGGGGGTACTCCCCTATATTCGCTATACGGGTACGTACCGCGAAACAGGGTATGGTTTTCAGCGATTCTACTCTGGAACAGGGTATTTAAAATCGCGCTCGCTCTGGGACAGGGTACATGAAGTCACGCTCTCTCCTATCTGGAACAGGGTATCTATTTTCGCAATACCGGAACAGAGTATGTTTTTCAGCGATCTTGCTCTGGTACAGGGTATAAATTTCAGCGATTTTACTCTGGAACAGGGTCAGGGTTCAGCGGCACACCCCTACCCCAAACAGGCAAGAGTACCCACCCACCCCACCCCCCCGAAAATTATAGTGCCAGGCATTTAATCCGTGACCTGCAGTCTGTAACGATGAGCAAGTACCACCACGAAAAGAGTCGTTCGTATTCTGTGCCGAGGAAAGGCAAACACGTCTATGGGCCACCGTACAGGCTGTATCGTAATTTGCGCGTGTAACCACTAAGGACCCCATCCAAGAACACCTTTTTGGACCTCATCCATGATCCCTCATATAAACCAGATTAATCGCGGTCTTCCTGTGTTATAGCGCGAGTAGTCATGGGATCGGATAGTATCACGTGATAGAGCGCGCTGAATTTCAAAAGTGTTCAGTTTGAAGAACGGTTCGAAAGTCTTCGGTCAACTGAATTATCAACGAGAAAAAACACGAAATACTGCCCTCGAATACGACAAATACATGGTTTATAACGATACTAGAAGATGGATCCATTCACACAGGTACTTCTGAGCGAAAATAGCGTTATTTTTGGTACTTTTTAACGTATTTTATAGCTATTTTACAACACGGGTGTCGCCGTATGTGGAAGAGAAAATAATTTAAAAACTTCTGTTTTCATCCGTTGTAGCATAATTTTATTTTGAAGATGACTCTAATTTTAAGATATAAAGCTATTTTTTACTTAGGACTGTTTCTTAGAGGAAATAAATATTTCAAAAACAGCCTAAAACCGTTGTAGTTCATGAACGTTTTTATACCAAATCTTATCGTTCTAAATCCCTCGAGTACGAAGTACGTACAGCGTCGAATTTTAACTCTTAAATTTCTTTCGTTACCTTTTTTAAAGTCGACGTAGCAAAACTCAGAAATTAAAACATTTGTAAAGCCATATTTCTACTTCAAAAATGGTTGGAATTTCAGCCGTTGTAGCGTGAGGTTTTCAAGCACATTTTAAAAAGTTTTCTGAAGGAAGATAAGCTTATTCAGCTTATCTGTTAAAAATTATTGTTAATTGATCAGGTATAATCGATTAATGGGGTTGAAAATTATTGTGTAGTGGTTTCTTATATTTTATTTCTTTTTTAATAGTATTTGATGTGTAATTTGAGTGAGGAAACGGTTGCATAGTTTAGATTTTTTTGAAGGGCTTCAACTTGATATAAATCGTTGAAATGTCATTCTGTATTGAAACAGTTGAAAAAGTCGTAATATTGAGTAAATCTTAAAAACTTAATACTGGTAGAATTGCAGGGAAATTTCGAAACTTTTTCAGCTTAAAAAGTTGAAGTTGAGCCAACATGTGGAATTTTTTCTTTCTTTAAATCTTGGTTTTTTTTCCCTAATGTTTTGGAGATAATAAACTAAATTGGATTGGAGGTCTTGACTTTTTTGTAAAACGATTACTACTATTTCCTTTTTCAAACCTTTCCCCACTTTCCTGATATGAAATAGGGTCTATGGTACACACTTAATTTCAAAGGTCCCTGGTTATTTCCGTGTTTGAAGCCATTCATATTAGTTTGGACAAGAGAAAAATTAATGTTCAATTTTTTTGAATAATATTACATGTCTGATATCCAGGAATATTTTGGTCTAAGTAATGAGAATTTTTTTTACATTCAATGTTTTTCAGAAACTCTTAGAAAGAACTCAAACCAGAAAGGAACAACTAGCCAAGAAAAAAGAAGAATTGGCTGCTTGCCGTAACAAACGCAATGCCCCAGCAGCACCATCACCAGTTAAGCCACGCCGTCCTCTATCAGAAGATAATACTGATGATAAAGACAAGCTGATTGATGACAACCAAAAGAGGAGGATCAATAGTGATGGTAGTGTCCCCAAGACACCCAAAGAGCCTACTACTCCAAAAGCACCCATTACTCCAAAGAGGGCAACTATGCCCAAGGCACAATCTGTACTGCAAGGACCAAGTACACCTTCCTCAGTGACTAAGGTTCGGGGTGGTGTAGAGATTGACACTAGTAGCCCTTCTATACAGGTAACCTAGACTCTATACATATTTTTGTTATACTATTTATATTTTGAATATAGTTACCCTGTAATGTTTAACCCTTTCACTACTAGAGGTTATAAGGGTCCAACACAGGCTCTTCCTGTAACATAATTAGGGTGTTTTTTATTTCTCAATATCAAAATGAAAAACATAAGCTCAGTAGTTATCGAGGCCCATAACACACATCAAAGAAGTTGATAGAATCTGATTGGTTAATGATCCAAAAAACATTAGCCCACAGGTTTCAACACATAGAAATGTCCTAGGGGATGGGTGCTGGAAAAGCCAAAATGTCACATTACTGGTTGGCCGCTCTAGTAGTGAAAGGGTTAATTCAGTAGCTGGGAATAGGGTTTTTCCTATTGAAAGTGTCTTTACGCTATGATTAGCTCTTTATAAATCCCTTACAGGATATCCAGCATGCACAACGCAGTTCCATTCAGGGGACAAACAACAAAATTTGACTCTCATGGAAATTGTTCAAAAATCATTGCTTTGTTGTGAATTGAGTTCCTCTGGAAATTGTGATGAGGGATTTGTTATCAATATTTTAGAATTTGTTTTGGTTGGTATTAAATTGTAATACAGTTGTTTGCGTAATATAGGGAGACAATTTTTCACAAAAACTGTAAAATGATGGAATAATAATAATTTTTTAACATTCAACAGGCTCGAAGAGAAATGTTGATTCTGATGCAGCAGAAAGATCAAGAAAACAAAACAACACCAAAAAAGCACTGGAAGAAGGCTCTAGATATGAATTCCAATGAAAACTCTAGTCCAACTGTAGCAGCCAGGTCTGCCATCTTTGCTCAGGTATATATCTATGTATTCAATATTATGAAGGATACATCATTCTTAAGGCCCAACATTTTGACCAAGCATTTTTGGGTGACCATGACAAATGAACCCAACAAGTGTTGGCTAAATGTTGTGACTGTTTGTCAGGTCCCTTATATAATGCATATAAAAATATTACAATGTCTGTTACAAGGATCTATTTATGTTGGTAAAAAGGGTTTAAGTAATATATACAGTATGAGTGGCCATGTTGTATCAGATATACTATACAACCATGAGGCGTAGCCAAGTGATTGTATATCTGATACAACACGGACATGAATACTGTATATGACTTATCAAACGACTTAGTTAGTTCCTTTGTGTTTCACTAAAATTTTCAAAATTAGAGTGAATTTGGCCAAGAAAATCCAACTTAAAGTTTATGCAAATGAACACAGTTTTGTATCAGATTTACAACACTCTTCACGGTCGTGATTTCTGTTGTGTTTTCCTCATTAATTATTCATAAGTTTGATGATAATGATTAGTCACAACTTTACTAATCTATTCTTTTCTTTCTTTTTTTCTTTCATCTATCCTTTGTACTATCCAGGATAAAGATTCCCAACCCATTTTTCCTAAGCCATCTGTATCAACCCCAGGAAAGATTTCTGCAGAAAGAAATGTCTTTGAAAAAAATCCAGTTTCAGTTGAAGTTAAGGCTGTTAAAACTGATGCTGCTGCCCCACCTAAACCACCAAGAACTATTGATGTGGAGAAAACACTGACTAGAGAGAAGAGCTCTTCCAAGAGAAAAGCACCTGCCCCACCAACTTCTTCTTCAGGTGGACAAAAATCTGATTCTGAAGCTGGCGATACTCCTGTTCCAAAACCAAGAAGTGAAAGCAAGGTTGTTGGTAATGATAATTATGATCAAACTATTGTATCAGTGAAGTGTGCAGATGAAAAAAAACCTGCAAAGAGAGAGAGGTTAGGGGAGGGTGATACACATTCAACTGAAAGAACCAATGCTAAAGATGAACCAACACCCAAGCCAAGGAAGAGAAGAAGTGCTGAAAGTACTACTGGTGGCTCAGAAAACAGTAGCACTGGAGAAAGAAATAAGAACCTTGAAGATGAAAGAACCAAGAGGAGAGAAGAAAGAAAGAAAGCAAGAATGGAAAGCAGAGAAAGGGGAGGAATTATGTCTGTAACTGCCCAGGCAGTTGAAATCCTTGAAGGGAAAAATGAAGCTATACCAGTTGAGGTCAATAGTGTTTGCACTCCCAGGAGTGACCAAAAATCACGAGCAAAAGTCACTGTAGTTAGGTCTGAATCTTCAGAAACAACTGCAGCAGTCAAACAAAAAGATGCTTCATCAACAAGCAAAGCAATCCCAGAAACAATTGCTAAGCCTGAAGAAATCTGTGATGCTATACTTGAAGCGGTGGTATATGATGAGCCAAAGAAACCAATTTCAAAATCCACTGTCAAGCCAAAAGAAGGTGTTTCTGAATTCAAACCCTCGAGAGCAGCCCCTACTAGGCCTCCACCACCACAGGGGATCTCACGGTTCGCCTCTCAGACTAGCATTAATTCAGGCTTGGATGAATTGAATGAGACAGTTAATCTCAATGATGTTAATATTCATGAGATGACCTTCACGTTTGACTTCAGTACGTTTGACAAAATACAAGAAGACAGGGAGACCAAGTTCCAGAAAAGCTTTGATGAACAGCAGAGAGAAGTGAGTGAAGTTGATTTAGAGAACATTTTTGTGTTTCCATGAATTCTAAAAATGTCGCTTGTACCTGAAGTGCAATATCTTGAAATCTGATTAACCAACAGAAAAGTTAATCAAATGTGTGGTTGTTCTCGTTGAAGCAAGCTTTAATGTATTTGGGGATTTATTTTGCAGGGTATTGTTCAGCTCTAAGATTCATTATCCTTGGCTATTGTTTTATTGTCTTCATGCCGCAGGTGCCTTGCAACACCAAGAAAGAGCCCATGCATGTGACATGGGGAATTTCTACGAGCGATATTATCTTATTATATTATATTATTATCTACTTATAGTATAGCTTCTAATCTAACACAATTCTCTTGTTTGTCTTCAGCTTGTAAAAGAGAAGAGAGAAACCTCATGCAGTCAGTCATCAGATGACAGTGGTATTGTATCTCCCTACATCTACGAACCAAAGACAAAGCTAGAGGTGGAACAGGCCAACATGGGGGTGTATAAGTCAGGATATAATTCAGAATCTGGTGATCCGTATGCTACCAAGATGTACAAGAAAGCTAAACCACCTGTTCCTGAGAGACCAAAACCAGTGCAAGATGTAATCAAGGTAAAGAAAAATGTACTTATCATACACATACATAAATGACATTTGCTTTCATACGTCAGAGATTTTAGGCCATGGACAAAAACATGGGGGAGGGCAACGCAGTGGGACCATTCAATTGAAACCCCCACCTCGGGTACAGGGGGGGAAATTAATGAGGCTTGACCAGAGATTTTCGAATGTACTGGAAAATTAACACATACTTAAACAGTTTAGCGATTTTAAAAGCAACATCTTCAATAATTTTAACAGCAATTCTTTCCCAAGGGACCAGGGTTAACACTAATAATGTTAAATTCCCTGGGCTGTCTGGAGGGTGTAAGGATGATAAATATAGTTTTAATCAAACCCAAACATTGTGTTACTATCATAGGAGCTTCTTGATGAGGCTGCATCCCAACAGAACATCATCCTACAGACCAGTCAAGCACTTAACGTGTGTGACTCCAGTAACGACATCTTTAAAGGCTCCCAGGAAGAAGTGGAGGCTGAACGAGTACTTTTACTGGCATGTGAGTATTTGCAATAGATCAGATTTCTGAGTGCCGTAAGCGTGCCTTGATCGTACATGTAATGTTTTCTAGAATTTTAATTGGCTGATTATTTTCTTGCGCAATGTAATTGGTCTAACAGTGGCGTGACCTTGGCGTGACTGTTTATGCCGTGCTCCGGGTTTTGATTGGAAGGAGAGTAAAATGAACGCGCAATGTGATTGGTCTGGTGTATCCCTTACCGTGTCACGTATTTGTGCCGTGCGCTTTCAATTGTGTAGTAGTGACTGTAGCTGGCGTTAGCAACGACACTGCAAGAAGGAGATTGTGAGAAGTGCGTACTTGTGCCGTGAGCCTTTCAGGGTGTAGTAGTGACCATGAATGGTTTTAACGGTACTGCGTGTAGCAGATTGTGATCTGTGCGTACTTTTTTCGTTGCATCTCATTTTTTCAGGAAAAATTGCCTCCTCTTTTTCTTCTTTTCTTCGTGCTCTTTTTTCCTTTAATCCGCAAGATTATCTGGATATTATAAACGTCACTCTTATTGGAAAACACTCACACTATTATTAATATTTTTAGCTGAGCGCAAACAAGCTTGTTTAAACGAACACCACCGCATCAAGAACAAAAAGAACGAAAGCAAGAAGGATTGTAATAAAGATGCCTCTAATGCGTGTACTTCAACAATCTCCATCGCAGGTGAATATCTGTTTCAAATTTAATACAAGATTACATAACTTGAAATACTGCGTTAATGCTTAATTTTGTTAAACTGAAGAGGATAATTATACCAATAGATTTTTGTATGTAAGTCATGATTATGAACGCGCAGAAATCAAACACAAAATTAGGCAACTCTCCCGCATAGACCTTTATCACGCGGCGGCAATGTTTATTCTCATGAGAATAAGAACATTTGTTTAACCCGCATAAATTTATTCTCAAATACTTGAATGCGAGGCAACGCGTGGTAGAATCTATTGTTCCAACCAACATAGCTGCCGCCTTAAAAAAGCCACATAATGGTATAGAAAAACAAATCCAACAAGTGTGCCTCAGTATATTTGCCTTCTATTGCAATGAAAGTAAAATACAAAACAAGTGTATCTTATTCCATCTTTTTTTCCTGTCAATGTTTTTACTTTAGGCATTCGCCTTTCCCTGAAGCAAGAGTTTATGGACGTTCTCAGAGTTGGAATTAGACATGGTTCGTAATGTGGTCATAGAAAGATTCTCTCATGTTTTCCCATTTCAGACCACGTGTCATTCTCTTGAGCATAAGATTCTTTGTTCGAGTTGTATCTATATTCATGTGTCTTCTCATGCACAACCATTAAACAAAGAAATGATACTCTAGGGAATAACATGTGGTCTGAAATGGGGGAAAATACGTACAAGATAAAGAAGTCTATTACTAGGTTAACTATGGATAAACTCGTAGTCTTGATGTTTCAAAGTTCATCCGTCTAAATTTGTGTTTTTTTGACACACAGATCTTGGAGTGTTTCATTTCGTGTGCCACGTACAGAACGGTCCACTGGAAATCACCTCCACGAAAAGTCTATCCATCAACGACTGTAACGAGGGAAACTACCTGATGTTTCCTGACAAGTTTGTTCTGTAAGTCAATACTTTTGCACTCTTTAATTAAGCCAGGTTTTCAATAGCCACACAAGCACAAGGAAAAGAAAAATCCTGAAGTGTTGAGCTTGTTATCAGTGAGATAAGGATTCTGGTGCTAGTTGAGGTTGCGCTCACCGCAAGAAGTGAAAAAACCAAGTTTATATAAAACAGCCCACAAATAAATGAATATAATAAGCTCGTAAAGGGGCAGTTGTCTATTTGGAATCTGTCCAGTTACCGCCTCATGACACATGCTCCTCCCCCCCTTTTATGAGATAATTTCTTTTGGGCATAATGCATGTTCTTACTTTGGCGACAAAAGTTGAATTAGAAGTGAATTAAGTTAGCTATTATCACATTAACAAATAGCATGCAGTCAGTTTCCATCCAAGGTTTTTTGCTAAACGAAGAAATCCCTTCAAAACTGAGGTGGCATGCAGTGCAACTGCAAAGAGAGATAAAATAAGAGAAAACTGCGTCAATGCGTCATGCTTATCCTCCAATATGCTTATGATTGCAATCTCTTTTTCTTCTTTTGTCCAGGGAAAATGTCAACCCAGATTTTGCTGTCGTCGTCAGGGTTTTTGGAATGGTATGTGTACTGTATTAGTGGGTTAAGAGCTCTTCCTTTTAATCCAATACTCCCTTTCTTTCCATCTTATTTCCTACTTCTTTTTCAGTTTTTTTTCTTTTTTTCCAATATTCTTACCTTTCTTGTCCTTTCCTTTTCTCTCTTTCTCCCTTCCTTTTCTCTCTTTCTCCCTTCCTTTTCTCTCTTTCTCCCTTCCTTTCTTCTCTTTCTCCCTTCCTTTTCTCTCTTTCTCCCTTCCTTTCCTCTCTTTCTCCCTTCCTTTCACACTCCCTTTATTTATTTCTTTTCTTTTCTTTCATAATAAAGCATGTCCCTGTCATAAACCGTTTTTCATTTTGCTTACAGCACGTGCAGAAATATGTCCCGTCTGCATCCTCAGCTGTTCAAAAAGGCAAGTTCTTCCCGTCACCAAAAGCAGCTAAAACCAAGGTACGTCATGATCCTGTTTCTAATACAATACGCCTTTTTTGGTTATTTGTTTCTAAACAAGTACTATCGTTTCTCATTTGTAGCGTCACGGTATTGACAGAGCATCACCAGGTGAGAACGATACTGCAGTAATATGATGGTTTTTGTAAGGTACCTTGGAAGTTAGAATCGTCTGTCAGTGTCTGTTAATTGTGTTTGTAAATTCGTGCTTTTTAAAGCACAAACACACGAGAGCTTTTACATGGTTAAATCGAGTGCGCCCGCAAAAAAGCTCTTACTACGTGAAAATAAATAACTTGTAGTGTTATATATTTCGCGAATGGTTGTGCAATAACGACTGGATTATGATTCTATGCGCGTGTTTTCTATAACAACAGAGCTGTGGTAAACTAATAACCATCTAATACGCTTGTATCTCATCTCAACAGGCGCAACACCAATGCCAGTATTCAGAAATTCTAACTTCAAGCTGATAGGCTCTACCCGCGTGACTCTGTCCCAGATTGGCTCCAAGAAGTGGATGCTGGACGGTGTAGCAGAGGGCTGTCCACTAAAGGATTATATACAGATGAAAGTACATTGTACGCCACAGTACACTAGCCACGTCAAGGGATTCTTGGTAAGTTCCTGGTTACAAGCTCCAGCACTAAAACTTTGCCCTGCTTTTTTGCCCGTTTCGCGCCCCGCTCGTCACTACCAGTGAGTTATAGAGTTATGCACCCCCAGACCTCCGGGACAGAGCGGGGAATTTATATTAACATTCATGTGGTGTTGAATTTCACGCTTTTCCCGGTCCCCGGGGAAAGATTTGCAGTTAAGATTATTGAATTCGTTGCTTTAAAAACTGTTTACACTTTTAAAATGCGCGCTAAATTCTCCTTATACCAGCACATTCATTCTATTAAATGTGCGTTATAATCCCGGTCTTGACGTGTTAATTCCCCACCCTATCCTGTGATTCGGGGGAGGGGGGTGGGAGTGGGGGTTTTAATTGACTAGTGCTGAAGCGCAAATAAACCAATATTGCGCTCTACCAACGGAAAATAAAGTACCACATTTCCTTTGTCTCCATTGGGTCCTTTATATATGTCCATCAAGACCATCATTTAATATTCTACATTCTTGTGATATATTTTGTTATCTCGTAGACTGTTCTGGAAGATGTGGGTGGGTTCAGTGCGTGGCAAAGAAGATGGTGTGTGTTGGAAGGTGGATTACTCTCGTACTGGAGGTATCCAGGAGACGAAACTACACAGGTAGACCACTTTTGGTATTTCTCTGATATCTTCTTTACTGGTTCGTTTACCTTTGAGGCGCGATTACACAGGTTGCAAGAGTGTTTACACGGTGCAATGGAGACGCAATCGTTGTCAAAAGTAGAAACAAATTCTACTTTTCGCAACGATTGCTGCAACTTGTTTAGCAACATTTTTCAAATTGCGCTGTAGGTTACACGCTGCAATGCTCCATGCAACTTGTGTCGAAAATCCGTGGCGTGACAAGTTGCAGGGAATATTGCTCCGTGTAATCGCGCCTTTAAGGTGTGGTGATACGGGCTAAGATCGTTCAACCTGCACTGAAACATTGTTATGTTGCGAGATGAAGGGCAATTGTTGCTAGCATTACCATCTCTAGCGCAACAAATTTCCTTGCTTACACGACATAGAAAATCTATCCTTTGCACAAAGCAAATCGTTTGCTTAGAACAAACACTGAAGTATGGAAATTCTGAGTAGCAGGGAGGATATGAAAGATTAACTCCGTAGAGTTTTCCGAAATGCGATTGACTGACCACAAAACAATGATTGCAGTTCACACTTGGACTTGACAAAATGCAACACTGAAATTGATGAAAAACATCAAGTCAAGCTGGCTCTGAAGGCAATTACTTTTGCACGTAGCCAAAGCTTAGAAAATTGGATCTTGTGTTGAGCGTGTAGTAATTGACTGTCATGTGTTTTCCCATGTACAGGCTCCTGTTGACACCCTGGATATTGGACAGTGCACTAGTGATCACATAACTACAGTACCCAGAGACTTGTGTGCAAGACCAAACACTATTGAAGTCTGTTTGAAGAAGAACAACGATCAAGTCAAGTAAGTCTAGACAGAAACTACGCGCATATAATAGATATTGAGGCCATTTGGAATCGTTATTAGAATCGATACACGCTACTGTACCGTTACCGTGCTGAAGACCTTTCCGAACATGATGGATTTTGGTCTAGTTTGAGTACAAACATTTTTCATCTATCATGATTCATATGGTGTTTTTTTGTACTCAATCTAGACCACAATGCACCTTGTTAATCAAACTAAGAAAAAGCCTTTGCCGAAGCATTTTCGCGGAATACGAAAGTGATCTCGCGAGCTTTGATCGATTCAACTCCTGTCGAATAGTTTGCTTTGATTAAGAAAATCAACTTCAGCAAATGCAGCAAATACTTATCCTCGTCATTTGCCTTCCCCTAACGATCATAGTAAAACTAATCAAGAATAATTGGTTTTCCAGATTCCTTCTGGCTTGCGACACCAAAGAAGACCGCATTACTTGGGTCAACTGTCTGAATGATGCTATGTGTGACATGAAAGCCTGGACTAAGTCCAATAAAGGTCCCCTATATCCTGAACTGGGGCACGTATCTGATACCAAGGAACAACACGGAAAATAAAGGTGCGCGCAACCACTACAGATATGAAATAATAATATAGTAAGAATATATCATAATAGCATAATAATTATACTAGATATAAGATCACATAGCGAAGACAAGCCAGGCGAAGATGTGGTTAATTCTCATTATGTACACACACACCATATAATTCTTATTGAATATTCAGCATTAGATATATCAGGGCACTTTATTGTAAATATTGCACGCATTGTAGAAACTAGAAATAATGCCCGAGTGAGATAATGAGCGTTTGAACCATTCTCAGTGACAATGTGCGTCAACTATGGTAACGCATTTTGTATTTTTAACCTCGTCAGAAACAAAATTTTTATTATATGTTTGAATTGATTTGAAGTAAGAATATGAGCACTCATGCGCGCAGTTAGAAGCGATGCGCAGCCAACGTATCTCATATAACTCTAAGAAACGGCTCGTGTAGATTATTTAATAGAATGCAAGACTTGTGGGCCCACGAGCCAAGATATTCTGGAAGTATTCTGACTTTGAACAAAGGGTGCAAGTTATCAAATATTTTTTTGTTTATTTTTATTACTGATTCTCGCTCGGCGCGTAAAACTAGTGTTTTATTTTAAAGACAGAAGTCACTGATGCAATGCTCTAATGTGTATAAACGAATATGAAGTAGAAAGAATACTTTTTAGCTGATATAATGAACTTATAAGCATTAAATGATATATAGAGCACGGTATTTTCTTGTGAGTATTTAATCTTTGATCTGGTCTATTGCCCTGGAACCGGTTACATGAAGGCTGAATATAGTTATCCATTGGATAAGAGGATCCAGTGTAAAAAAATTGTACAATTTTTATCTGGGCCAATAGACCTATCCCGAATTTGCTTGACTGGCCACGAAACAATGGTTTCAAGTCGAGGTTGAACTTGATGAACAAAATAATCAAGTTCAGTCTCGCCTTAAAACCATTGTTTCGTGGTCAGTCAAGCGAATTCGGGATAGGTCTATTATTGATTCTTTTCAGTGCTTGGAAGTTTTGCACCATCACATGATGGCAGTCATAACAGGAGGAACAGCAATAGTCTTTTTCCCCCCGTAAACCAGTTTAGACCAGATTCGATTATTCCTTCCTGGTTCCTGTCATGGCTGCCATCACGTGACTGTGCAAAGCATCTATACACCTTCGTATGACATGACGCACGAAAAAATCGAGACGATTGAGTGGCAGCGTAGTTTGTTTTAAATGAAACTCAAACCCCAGTCTATCTATCGAAATTGGTTTTATGTAAGGAAGTCAGACCCAGTCGACACTCGCGCTTTTTAATGCGCACGATGGCTTTTGGGAAGGAGAGAAAAAGTGACGTCGTTTCGCTTTTCACTTCCTTTATTCCCTTGATGCACCGCGAGATCAATAAGACAAGAGAAGCGACTGGGTACGAGTCTGTTAGGAAGCAACATCATGTGCACACATTAAAACAACTAGATAAAACAAATCACTGAATTCAGACGCAAATGCAATGAAATATTTCATTTTATTTTGATAATTTCACAATCATTCAGTAACAAAATATTTTCTCTTATTTTTCCGATACCTGAGTGAATATATTAGTTTTTAGACAAAAGGCTGTGCAGGGCCTTTTAATTTTGAAGTAACATTCTGTGTTTATCGACTTGACAAAGATAACGCCAACAATGTCTTGCGTTATTTGGAAACTTTAAATTATGAAATCGAATTATTTACAGACATTTACACAAATAGATAGGTAGAGAACCAAGAGGCTCTGTCAAAAGGGGAGTCGCAAAGAGTAGAAAGAGTTTCTACATCGCACAACAATGCCAACATGTTGCGCGCGTGGTAATACGAGCAACAGAGATGTTCATTGCCAGTCCCATGGTATAGTAATCTGCCCGTCATCTGATACTTGATAGTATTTCGACACTATCACCCGTGTACCAAACAATTCATCTAGTGGCTGCTGGATCAATGCCTGACAGCAGGTCATCATTTGCTGGAAGGATACTGACTCATCCTTTCTTAGTGATTTCAACCCTAGTGTCTGCTTGCAAGTACTGATGACTTCTTGTTCTTCAGCAATATTTCTGGAAGAAAGAGTCTGTTAGACCGTTGGTCACCCGAAGACGCCTACCATACCAGGTCTAAAGCCTCCTTCCTAGACGTCTCTTATTTCATCGATTCATATTCGCGCGTCATTCCCTTGAGTATTGTTTTTTGTTCACTTTTAATGCTTGAGAAGATAGAAAAGTATTGCCAAACAGAAAAATGTACAAACTGGGAAAACCTTGCACCCAAACTGGAAGAATATGAATCATGTGCGACATAAGAGAACTCTTTACCTTGGGGTTTTCCTATTTCAGGCCGCGTGTCATTCCCTAGAGTATTATTTCTTTGTCGAACGGTTGCGCATGAGAAGACAAATAAATATGGGCACGACTTAAAAAAAACAACAAAGAATCCTAGAAGGAGAATACAGAGCTTCACCCCACAGTGCATCTTACTCTTATTTCACCGAATAATTAATTAGCACGGAGCAGTATGAATTTAAACTATATTAACTAGATCTCACGAGGAAAGCACAGGAATAGTGCAAACACTAATACAGGTCAATTCATCCTATTCCCGCAGTTGGAGGCATTACAAACTCCTAAATAATCACTTCTCGTGATTACTGCTTACTTGTTCAATTTTTCTTGCAAGTTGAGAGATTTCTGTTTGTTTTGAAGTAGAAAGTCGACAAGAAGTTCAGCTGGTGTGGACGCTGGTACTCTGAACTGTCCATTATCTGATAGACTCATAGGGCCATTAGGACTACAACCAATAAAAGTACCAAAACTTTAGTATCAAAACACTGGCATCTTTGAATCCTTAAGGCGCGATTACACGGAGCAATTGTCTCTGCAACTTGTCTCGCAACGGCGTTGCGACACAAGTTGTATGGAGCATTGCAGAGTGTAACCTACTGCGCAATTTAAAAACATGTTGCGAGACAAGTTGTGGCAATCTTTGCGATAAGTAGAAGTCGTTTCTACTTTTGGCAACAATTGCGTCTCCGTGCACCGTGAAACACTCTTGCAACTTGTATCGCAACGCTTTTGCGGGACAAGCTTCAGTGAAAATTGTCTGTCTGTCTGTCTTCCTTCTCTTTCACTATCATCCACAAATAAACCGTCTACAGTCTTACCTTAAAATATTACACTCGATGCCTTTAAATGTCGCAGGTTTAAGAGGATATCCTATCCTACCGAACCTGAACCGTCTCAGACCCATTACAAGTCTGTGTAAGTGATTCAGATACTCTGGGACCCCTAGTGAGGGGCTGGTTTTGTCGTACACTATCGAAATGTTACCGAGTGGTTCAGACAATCGTTTCTCCCATAACGGTACTTGATGAAGAAGGACATCGTAGTCTTCTAGTGTTCCGAACAGCTGAAAAAGAATAACATAAATTAGGATTATTATGACATAGTATGGAATAAAATTATGAAAATTTTCGCCGGTTACTGTCGTTTTCAATAACGCGCGGAATCGTACAATTTCCCGTCGCGCCGAAGTACGTTTTTGTGGACGTCAATTAAGGCGTTTCCATGACATTCCATATGTACATGTTCTCGAAAACATCGTCATGTCATACACAAAAATACTTTGATTGACGTCCAATTAAAATCTAATTTGTGAAGTTGATTCCTCGCGTTGTCATAATAACAACTGCAAATCTACAACCACCCATCGAGACGCTGCATGAAACTAAGTACAGTGAAGGCATTTAACCCGTGAAATAAAAAATGTCAGTCAACGTGTAATAGTCAAATAGACACAAAAGAAAACAATGGAATTAGGGTCTACTGTCCCAATGTGTCTTAGCCTAACACCTATCTCATGGGTTTAGTGACTTCACTATAAAGGTTTTTAGTTGTCCACGCATAAAAACTAAAAATGGAAATAAACTTACAGCCAACCAATACTGTGGCACGTCTTCAACATTCAACATGATGTTACCATGAGGGTCAACCCCGGTCCACCTCGTCAACACCACAGACCTCCCCCGCAGAGTGTATAGATCAGACATCTTTTCCTTACACAGATACAACAGATTCTTCAGAGCACCTTGACATGACGCACAGGTCCAGCCACAGTCTAACGAAAGGTCCCTCAACTCCAACTCTGCGGAAATTTGCTGCGAAATTCTCATCGTTTCTTCATAAGCTTTTTCACTCGAGTCAAGTTTTTCCTTCGCGTCTTTGATTTGTTCGTATATAAAGCTCGTCAGCGTTATTTTGGGTTTCTTTTGGAATTGACTTTCATGGATGTTCCTTTTATCACCGTACATGCGATAGGTTTGGAGCCAGTCTGCTGGTCCGCCGAATCCAGGGGTCGATACGTCATGACGATCTGAGCTCTTGTTCTGTACGTTCACAACGTCTTCGTGCATCCCACATGACTTGAGGATTTGTTGGACTGTGAAACTGAGATCTCGCGAAAAGAGAGAAATTCGAACTGTCTTGAATTTGGGATCTGATAAAAGAAAAATGAAAGATGTTTAGATTTTTTTCTCTTCTTTTCTCTCTCTTGTTGTATTTCCCAGGCAAGAAAACCTTTAATAAAAACTGGAGTTCGAAGTAGCCCAAGAAATCAGATGTCATGTAGAGCAAGTAAAACCTATGAAGAAGTAAAAGCTCTTAGAGAAAAAAATCAGGCCAGATGCAGGTAGCCCGAGTAACGGCTGTAACTATTGAATAACCAAGACCTGATTGAGGAAATCTGTCGCAACTTGAGGTATACAACGGTACAAAACCTGTAGGAGATCTAAAGGCAACAAGATCGTCAAACTTGTCACGCAACATTCTTACGTTGCAAGCTAGATATTAAATGTTTTTCGTATTACCAACCAATTTTCGTTCCCAAGCACTATAACTTATCTATATTTCTATATCTTCATGTATTTCATAAGTGCTACGCGGTCCACATATTCCCAATTTTCAGAAAGAGTTTCTTTTTCTTGAAACAATAGAAATTTGGTTGCGCATGGTGTGGTAATAGGAGCGCGCAACATTTGCCTCTGTTGCATAACAACGCGCACGACTTTGTGCCGCATTACCGCACCTAAAGGAAAATTTTTTATCGAAAAAGAAGATCAAGACTATCATATAGGTACCCCAGTAAATCACGTCATGTGCATATGAAGATATCAGAATAAACCTCTTTACCTTGGGCGTAATGTTTTCTCATTTTAGGCCACATTTTCTTCCCTAGAGTRTCATTTTTTCTTTGTTTGACACATGAATATGGATACAACTTAAACTGAATCTATGCTCAAAAAAATGACACGCGATCTGAAAAAGCTAAATCTCAAGAAACAACAAGTAAAATATATATTTGATTTGTGATATTTGAAAAAAACCGACGGACCAGAGTCGTCTTTATGTTCAGTTTATTTCTGACATTTCCTCCCCCTACCCCCCTCCCCCTCCACGAGCTGTCGTTCTAGTTTTCGTAGAGTGATTCTGCGACGGCCAGTACTCTGATTCAAGTTCAATCAATTCCTCGGCCAAAAATATCAATGTGGCTATTTCTATCATTAACACCTGCGGTCAATCTGGTCAGAATCTGAGAATCTAGGCTTATTTTCATTCAACTAACGTCAAGATAATAACTGAGATAAGAGATGAAACGTCACCTTGGTTCCGTCGTATCTGCTGTTGTTCAAGTTGTTTGACGCAGTCCTTGAGGTAGAACGTCAGATGTGTGGGATTTACAGGATATTTGTTCTCGATGTTATCGATGTAGGAGTTGAGCCTCTTGAGAGAATCTTCGTTTGTCGCCTGGAAAAGACGCACGAATCACGTCAGGATGTGGTCACAAAACAGCCGCGATTTACAAGACAATTTCAAGCTACATTTCCAATGAATACCTAGGTCTTTGCCTCGCCAATATCTCTTCCTATACTTATTTTGTTTGTCTACGGTAAATATGGAAGGTTTGTCACAGAAACTAGACAACTTCCTTTGTCTCTATGGTAACACTCAAATTCCTTCTATCTTATTTCCACAGGCAGCCCAAGCATATCCTTCTTGATTGGGGAATTCCCGATACTTGGGCTACCTGTGCTTTATTCTTGAGTGAGCAATCACTACCACCAGTTTAAAAAAAGAGCACGGTTTTCTTACCCTTTCAGCAGGGAACTGACCAAACAGATCCGGATGGACCGCGAAGTAGAATGGTTTCAGAGCCGCTTTGCTTTCGGCGTGTGAGAGAAATCGTGGTAGCAGCCATGATCCTCGGCGAGGGCCTGTTCGTATCACACTGGGGAAAAAGAATGATATTATTTATTTATTTGAAAAATTTTATCAAAACAGACTTACGAGTCTATTGTGAACACTGAATAAGCAAAGTGAATGGACTACTTCGACGATACTACGGCCATCTTGCCAGGGGGCAAAAAACAAAAAACAAAAACAAAAAAAAAAACAACAAAAAACACACAAAAAAAAACAAAGTTTCGCGTGTTTGTCTTTTTTTTATGGGTAAAGGTGATCGATGTGCCATCTTGATTCATGTTTTGTGTATTCTCTTGTGGTGAGCTGTTAATATCAACCGACGTCATTCAAAGCTTTGTTTGGCCCTGGACGCCCGATAATACCTTTGCGATCCAAGAGGGCCACCGTATCGTCGAAGTAGTCCATTGCGCACAATCATATTGAAGAATTCCAAAATGAAACAACCTCTACTCTGATCAAAGTTACGGCAGGGTGAACTCACAGTTTAAACCCTGAAGCAACCACTGGGCTGATCAAATAGAAAGTCATGGCAGCGTTAACTCACAGATAGGACCCTGAAAAGACCTCCGAGACCCCAGAGGTGAGATCCTGGTTATTGGTTATGAAAATGGCTCTAGCTGCAATTCACTGCAGTATTCAGTATTCACAGGGCAAAAACACTTTTGGAAATAGTTACCATGAAATAAAAATTTAGCGTTCAAAACCTGAATCTCGAAAATGATATCAAATTCCAAACGATAGACATCGCAGTCATTGATACAAGTGACGTAGACTGACGCATGTATAGTAAAGGTAAGAAGTCACGTGCAATTGGACTCTTAAAGATACATTCAAAACTCGTTTTAAACAGGTTCAGAGTCCTATTCTTATTTCCAAGCATAAATTATGTCAGAAACATCCCAGTCCTATATAATGATGTAGATAACGACTAGTTTTGGAACTAGCTTGGACTGCGTCAGTGTTTTTTAGTTGAAACAAATGTGTCGTAGTAGATAATTTTATCACCGTAGGTACGAAAGATAGTAGACTGACGTTTCGGACGTTAGTCCTTCGTCGGAGTCAATATAATGATGGATCTTTGAAGCAATTACATTTTTTCGATCCTAGTATTTCTTTTTTTTTCTTCTAGCAGCCAAATTCTCTGYCCGTGCATCAAATCCCATTTTTTTGACACAGAAATATAAAAATTCCTATTTTCAAATGATAAAAAGTAGATGTCATTGGTAGAAAGATGAATCTTAATTTTTCTTTCTTTGTTTTAAAAACAAGAAAAAATGCATGTTTTTTTCGTAAACATTTCCATCACAAAACAATGGCGTATCAACTACATTAGATATAAAAATACTAAACGGACGACGAATAACTTTAAAATAAAGCCCCACTCAGAAGAAATGGGTTTCAAATTATTTTTAAAATAGTCTCACTTTAGGAATTCTTAAAGTTATAAAATTTGAGATACATAAAACTATCAAAAAAAAACAAAGACGCTGTTAGATATAGACAAAGCCTTAAAGATTAATCATTTTGAGCTTTGTAGCTTCTGTTAACCTTTGAAGTAGAATTATCGTCTAATATTACCTCTTTGAAGGGATTTTTCTCAAGCAAGCAAGCATCTTTGTGAAGCTAGCTTCGTTAAGTTTTTCCGCCTTAAAGACGAGCAAAGGTTTAAGTGACGATATAGAAACCTCTTCATTCGATGCTTAGCCTGTGAAACACAGTCCTTCAAAAATATAAACAAAATACTAGTTATTCTAGACAAGTTTGAATAAAATATAAGTTTACAGTTTACAGTTTAAGCTCTTTCGATCTCTCCTCCAATCAATCCTCAAAGTGAACTTAAACTAGTCGTGAATCATTAATGGCGTGACAATAAAAGTGACATTTGTTCAATATTAATAAGAGTCATCATACATTAACAACAAAATGAAAAGAAAATCTCTTCCTGTTCTTGAGAATTCAGTCATTTGAAAATTCAGTACGAATTCGTTGATATTTTTAAAACAGTGAGCTCTTTTTTGCCGTATTTTATATAAGAATGTTAAACAAATATTAGATTTAATGGAAAAAACAAGTTTAGACGATATTTTACATGTTAAAAAACCCTTTCTACAAACAGCAATGCAACTTTATTTGTTCTTGGATAATATATGAATGAAATAAATATTATAAAATAGTCGTATACATGTTATTCTTGTTTTTAAAAAATCAATTTTTGAGGCAAAACTCTTTATTCTGTTATTTATTATTTTGCACAAAAATTACTAAAACTGAACAACTAATTATTTTACAAAAAGAAAATTTGAAATTAAAATTGTATTTAAGTTGGAGTTACACGAGACGCAGGAACGACGATTTTTCGTGGCAAAAATTGTTCTAATGTAACATGAAGTCGCGCGGTTCTGATTTTTACTAGTAACGATATCTTGTTGCGCTTTTTGAACGACCTTGTTGCCATCGATTGGTGTTGCCGAGCAACACTGTTACACGAGGCAAACTTTTAACGAAATGTTTGGCTAAAATCGTCTTGTATAACAGTGCTGTAGATTCGATTTTTAACATTTTTGATCAAGTAATAAACTGACTAGTATTTCTACCAAAATGTTCTATTATTATTACCGAAAGGTAGGAACGTCATGTTTGGTAAATTATTTTATTTCTACCAATAAATGTATTTGGTAATCCACATGTTTGTAACATACATGAAGTATCATGCTACTGAAGCTTCGCCGGCAATCAAGTAGGAAAATTTAGATACATTACGTCAACCATTGTTCTTTCCCATGAATATTTTCTGGTGTTTATCAACGAGAAAGATTGTTTAGGTTTCCAGACTGGTGATTTAAGAGAGTTTGGACTAAAAGGAAGACGGTGAAAAAAACCACTAAAAACGCCGGGTTTTTTTTCTCCCACACACACGGAGGAAGAGTCTTTGAATGATTTTGAGTGGGAAGAAAAATATAAAATATCTCCGTTTTCAAGTTTCTGATTTTTGCCTTAAAAAAGCCAATCATCCCAGCTGTGTAATTATGAACTTTTATTAAGATTTTCACCATCTGTTTTAATCGCATAGGTGATAAAAAGAACGACATTAGCAGACAATAGAGGAATATCTCTAAGGTAATTAACTCAATAACAATTAAACATATTGATTTTTTGGTGGAAAATTTGTTTTTTATGACTTTAAAAAAAATACTTGTTGTCCAGTTTGGTTGCTATAGTCTCCAATAGCAACGATCTATACCACATGCATTATATTATATATATCACTTTTTTACTAAATAACATGCAGGGCCATTCATAACTGGGCGTTAGGTTTTTCTGCTAATATTCCTTATGGAAATGATTACGATCTTCAGCAAGAAAGCTTAATGACTAGCCTGTTAACAGGCTCTCTGTTGTCTTTTTTTGGAAGGGGAGAGGGAGGGGGAGGGGAGGCCTAATAATGTCTTCCTCCCCCACCACCCACCCCCCCCCCAAAACAGAGCCTGTTTGCAGAAAGGAAAGCTACCAAAGATTTATGCAGCCTTTGTCAACATGGTTTATTCCTCTATACCAGACATTTTGACTTTGGTTAAATGAAAATATTTTTTTGGGAATGATATTACAGTGTAATTCAAAGGCAGTTCTTATGACTTAAGAAAATACATTTGATGTTCAGTTTCCTTAGTCTTCCATTTATATGGCAATGGTGTATATCACATTATAAATCATTTTTGATAATAAATAGCAGGGCTATTCAAAAGTAGGTATTAATAGGTATTTCTGTCTCCTATATATTCATAATTATACATATGGCTTAGTATAGTTGATTGGATTTTTTTTGGCAAGAAACTACTAGATTCATGAAGCTTTTATTACAGTGAGGACACTCAAACCGTTAACATTTTATAATTTTTTGGTCCCTTTTCAAATGATCATCCCATGAGCCAATCAGGAGAAAATCATATTTGGATTATTTTGATCACTGACAGTGTGTTTGAAGTCAATGCTTCATTTAAGAGGCTTTGAAACACCGGAAAAAAGTCAGATGTGGGAGAAACCAGATAGAAAAAATTATGTTTTTAAGTCTATGTACAAAATTCTCAATATTGAAAGAACTTAAGTGTTATTTAAAGTAATATAACTATGGGGGTATAAAACATTAAAAACAATAAAGAAAAAAGAATATTGTATCATTGACTTCAAACTTGAAAAACCCTTAACTAAAACAATTATAATTCTATATGCATACATATGTTAGACAGTTTTATATAGTACGTATGGCATGTATGACATAAACTATAAGTACAGTGTATATATTAGTTAGAAGTAGGACTGTTTTTCAGCAGTGTCATATGCACTTGTGCATCCAAAATCTAGATGCATGAGTACACATGGCACTTAGTAAGTTAGTAAATTATACAAGCAAGCATAGCAAGCATAGCAAGCATAGCAAGCATACACCCCTTGGGACGGTCTAAAAATAATGAATTATTATAATTATAAATAATTATTATTTCAGATCGAATAATTCATTATTTTTAGACCGTCCCAAGGGGTGTATGCTTGCTACATTAGGGGCTCATTCTTTTTATGCTGCTGCCCCCACATTGCGGAACAGCCTTCCTGTGAATATAAAAAAGCTTAAAAGACTTATCTTTTTAATATAGCTTACAATAGGTAATTTTTATCAATTTTAACATAGTTTTCTATCATAGTTTATTTTCCTTATACMTATTATATTTATATATACATATTTATTTTTTCTTGTTAGTTTTTTATAGTTATATCCTATATTTATCATAAGTATTGTATATATATGTATATTCATATTTCATTTATTCATTCATGTAAAGCGCTTTTGATCATTTTAATGTTAAAAGGTGCTATAGTAAGTTAATAAATTCTAATTATGATGACAAACTTCAGTGTCACATGCACTTGACAACACGGATTAACTATACAAGAGAGCTAGGGTGAATCAGCAGATTTCAGAAATAATGTATTCCAGATTACAGATTCAGATCAAGATTTTGAGGGGGTTAGAGAATCCTGTAAATTCAGTGGATTGTGAAATTATCGTTTTTTTGGACAGGATTTTGGTTTTTGGTCGCTAATTTAGAGTTTGCAGATTTAAACTAATTTACCAAAAAGTTTTGAGCATTTTTTTGTGTGGATCAATTGGAATTGGGCATGGAATTTAATAGTCTCCCCCACAGCCGCTTTCAGTGTCATCACGCAACGCTTTCTGACACTGAAAGCGGCTGTGGGGGAGACTAGGATTTTAATGACTTGACAGATGTTAATGCCCCTATCCATCACAGCTTGTTTATAGGGGGAATATGCATCCATATCTGAGATAAATTCATCTTGGGCATTTACATAAGATATTTTACTTTGCCTCGGCATTTACATAAGATATTTTACTTTGCCTCGGCTAGCTAGTATAGAAGGGTCACTCTACTGGTAGGGTTTCCCTCTTTGTGATTTTGCTTAATCAAAACAACTTTTTTATTTGAGCATGCGTATCTCCATTGAGATCGATAGTTGTCCCGGTTGTCAGCTTCTTTCCATATAAATGCTCAATATAGGTGTCTGCTATCAGGGACAAGTTTTCTCCATGTAAACAACCCCTTATTAGATCATCAAGACGGAATACTTTGTGTCATTCAATCATTATCCACTATTTCCAGAAGAGCCTTGAAACAGGTGCACATCTAAGTGGCTTTTAGAGACTGGTATGGATATTTCCTTAGCAACGATATTATTAATAAGCTGGTGTACGTTTGTCCTTTGTTTGAATCTCAGATATCATTAATAACATTAGCTATAGAAGTATGCGCAAGCATTTAGTTAAGAAAGTTAGAAAAACCATTCGAGTCTATTAATGACAACTTTTGACTAAGTATTTTTGATTGACAAGATACTTGAGTACGTTATAAGTTGTTTTTTTTTTTGGGTTGACTGATCATGCGATTGAAGTATAGTAAAAAAGGGAAAAAAAGGAAATCGTCGCTAAGTATTCAAAGTAACTCTGACTTACTGTACAATTTTTGTAATATGACTTACGTGCCATAGTGCACGATTTTGAAAATGTTCAGAACGCACACAAAATGACTGATAAAACCCTTAAGGCGGTCAAAAGAGAGTATCAGGGAACCAATACAGATTAGTTTATTGATCATAGATCGTTTGTCTACCATAAAATGAGTAAGACTTTCAATACAGACGAATACAGTCACAACACGTAATCAGAAATCACACAACAAGATGAACAAGATTGATGCTTGAAAATGAAGGAAATTTTACCTTGAATTGATGCGAGAAAACATTCCTTAATTGCTTTCCTTTATCTATTTACAACAAGCACCTCTTACGGTTTATTCTGTAGGTCATTGTCGGTTTAAGATCTGTACAAAACATCACATACCCTCGACGTCGGGCTGTTGATCAACTTCGGTCAGATCAATATACTACAAGCAAAAATAATACTCACTACTAGGGGAGTGGTAGAGGAGCATATAAAATGCTCTTATGAAAATTCCAATGGAAAATGCTATAAGACGTATTTCAACATACAGAAAAAAGGATAAATTGTTTCTTTAGATCGTGAAGAAACTATTAAGTTCTAATTTTTGTTAAAAGCTGAGAAGTATTTTTAAATGGACGAATTCTCCTTCATTCAGTGCAGTGTGGATATATTGTAGTCCCCTCTCCTACCCCCTGAGGTCGTAGTCAAAGCTTAGTAACCACATTAGTTTGAGTTCAATTTTATTTAACGTGAAAAAAACACAAGTACAAGTAAATGCTTTCAGGAATTTTCGCCACGTTGAAACTGTAGCTATTATTTTCGTTTATTTGCTGTATTGTGAACAGAATCAATAAGCTAGGAGTGCCAGAGAAAGTGCTAAGGTTTACGTAACCGTGTATGCTGAGATGCCCACGTGCTCCATTTGACACGGTCCATCCATTACTAGTAATTTCCCATTCATTCATAACTGCGTTTACGAATGTTACATGTAAAAGCTGATGTTTGTGAGCGATTGATTATTGTTTCCCAAGTTCTTCCTCAAGATAATCCACAGTAATTCTATTCTCACTAGAATGCCTCATCCTAGCGAAGACTGCGCTTCTTTGAACTCTCATAACAGGAATGGAGTGTCTTCGGATGTTGTACAGGTAAGTGATGATGTGAATGATCATGATTTACGATTTCACTCAATTTGTTTAAAATTTCTTCTACATCTCACTAGCCACCAAATTACCGGCGATATCTTTGTGTCAGGGTAGTATAAAATCAAAATAGAAAATCAATAAGCACGCGGTAGTTCCGCGGTAGTACGGTGTGAACGATCTTACAGCGGTTCCTACATTGAGAAAAAAATTATAGTGTTAGCCTGTTTCAGTGGCTTAACGACTATTCTGTAGCTAAGAAAATATACTTACCTTACTTTGTCTGTTACTGGTGCTATTAGAATTCTATAATGTACGATAAGTACGTCGGTATTTTTGTATAATATCCCCAAATACCTTTATGTATGTATATGCAGATGGTGTTATAGGGACGTCACTTACTTTTTCCTTTTCCATTAATATCACGAGCTTAGTCAAATTTACATCTATTTGGGAGTAGAAATATTTAGGATCTGTATTGGTTTCCTGGTTACTCATAGCTTAATACAGCTTTGTAAGTCTTTGGGTAAACTGTTCGTAGAAGTAAGGTCCTAAAAAGTTTGTTATAAAGTAGAAATGCTAAAGTTCTTGAAACATATTACATAATACGTGTTCACGGTTGTTCAATTTAGTTATCACTCCCATAACATTTCTATAAAATCAGTATAGGAAATAACACCGTTTGAAATTGCTTTTACGAGGAGTAAGGTGATATTATCTACAAAAAAAATGCGTTGATGATTATATATCAATAATTGGGCAAAAAAATTTGGTTGTCATTCAAGCAGTGGAGACATAAACATTTAAGAAAAATTGAAAGCCAATCAACCAAATCAGAATCAAGTATTTTTGTTTATGTATTGTAAGTTCTGAGTCTTTTTCACCTTTTTTTTTCTCCCATCACTTGCCACAAGGGTTTTTCTCCTGGTGCTTCATTTTTCTTGGCTCTGTAAAAATCAAGAAGATATCAATTTTTCGAAATAGAGAAAAATAGATATTTCATTGGTAATTATATAATAAAGCACATTTATTTATTAATAAACCAGTAAAGAATGATTCTCTTTAGCCTTAGAAATGTTTTCCCATTTCAGACCATGTTACATGTACTTTTGAGAATAAGATTCTTTGTTTGGGTTGTATCCATATTCATGTGTCTTCTCATGTGCAACCGTCAAGCAAAGACATTATACTCTAGTAAAAAATGGTCTGAAATTGAAAAACGTTATGTCTAAGCTAAAGAGTTTTAGCAAGAGAATATGAACTAAGAGAAGAAATCCTACCTATATAGCCTTGTAACCATCATGTGCACAGTTTGATGCTATTTTTAGCTTGGAGATATTTTGAGCGAAGAACCTGGTTGGTTGATTTCTTGAAGGTAGGCGGCTTCCAATCTTGCAGTAAACAAATGCCTGTGTTTTTGTAGCTTTTCATGTCTTAAAACGAGGCATTAAAGGAAGCATGATTATTGAATAGCATCAATGATTCTAAAAATAGCATCAAAGTATGCATATGATGGGGCATGGGGATTCCTTCTCTTAGTTCATTTTCTCTTGGTTTTAGGCTATTTTTGTTTATTTCTTAAAACTCTTTTTTTCAAGGATGATAATGAAGGTTTCAACCCTGCAGTCCTCAATGGATCCAAAAAAGAAACCAAAGACTCAACAATGAATGGTGCCAGAAACGGGATCCCTGTTGTGGGCAAACGATTTCCCAGGGTACTAGTGACAGGAGGAGCAGGCTATCTTGGGACATCAGTAGTACCATTATTACTCCAGAAAGACTACGAGGTTCTCGTCTACGACCAGATGCTTTGGGGTGTAAGCGGCCTGCTGCCATGCGTCGGTAATCGTCGCCTAAAAATAGTCAATGGCAACATACTAGATGTAAGGCACCTAAGAGAGTGTATGGCAAAGTGTGACGCTGTCATCCATCTAGCTGCAATTGTCGGGTACCCGGCTTGCGAAAAAGACCCGGAGCTAGCCCGAGAAGTTAACGAACAGGGCACGAAGAATGTAGTGGGGTGTTTACGACGTGGACAAGCCTTGATTTATGCCTCTACCGGGTCTTGCTACGGGGCGATACCAGATGGGATGTGTACTGAAGATACACCTATATGTCCTTTGACTCTGTATGGCAGCTCAAAGGCTGAGGGAGAGAAAGCAGTCATGAAAGCGCCTAGCGCCGTCAGCTTACGATTAGCCACTGTATTTGGTATTTCACCACGACTTCGTCTTGATCTTCTAGTAAACGACCTTACTCACAAAGCCATTACAGAGAAGCAGTTCGACCTTTACCAAGGGGAATTCCGACGTACTTTCCTCCACGTGAAAGACGCTGCCAGGGCTTTTGTTTTTGCTTTGGAAAACTACGAGGAGATGAAAGGCACTGTTTTTAACGTTGGAGATGAACGTATGAACATGTCCAAGAGTGAAGTTGCTGAATGCATTGAGAAGTCTGTACCTGAATGCAATATTACGAAGTCTGACAGCGGCGAAGATAAAGATAAAAGGAACTACGAAGTGTGTTACCAGAAGATTCGAGAACTAGGATTTGAAGCGACGATATCAGTCGAAGAAGGAATTGAAGAGTTGTTGAAGATTTTACCGTTTGTTACTCCCGAGGAAGCGCTCAAGGCAAGGAATGTCTAACGATTTCATTTATATGAATAATATTAGGAAATACTATCATATAAAAAAACCCCAGTCAAGAGTATCGAAAAGTTAAGATAAAAAATTGAATGGAGCATTGCAGCGTTTAACCTACTGCGCAATTTGAAAAAAAATGTTGCGAGACAAGTTGCAGCAATCGTTGCGATAAGTAGAATTCGTTTCTACTTTTGGCAACGATTGAGTTGTAGACACTCTTGCAACTTGTGACGCAACGCTGTTGTTCCTATTAAGATATTATATAGTATTTAAAGCAATAATCCTAAGAAACATATAATTAGTTTTAGAATTCTTTCAAAAGAGCTTACTTGAATACACTCAAGTCCTTAATATTCCTAGTGCTTTTGCTAACATTCCAGTCGTCCGCTGCTCTTGAGACCCGTTCTATATTGGCCCCACTTTCGATTGATCTTAAGCTTGCAAATTACGTTAAATTCATTAGAACAAATTTATTTAATTTCATGTTAAGGTTGCTGTGATACGGGCAATCGTGCAACTTGTCGCGTAGCAAAGTTGTGTTTTAACTTGCCACAAGTTGCAACACAACTATGTTGCGCGACAAGACACCTTATACTTAGAGAGAATGTTGCTTGTATTGCCACTCCTGCGACACTCCTGCGACACTCCTGCGACAACACAATTTCACTATTGAACCAAGTAGAAGCTTTCTCTACTCTTAACAATGAAAGTTTGTTGCAAATTGCAACGATACATTTTTGCGCAAAAATTGCACGAATTTGTTGCCCGTATTACCGCATGTAGATTTAGGTAGTTATTTAAGTATATATATCCGTTTAAAGATAAAAATATTGCTTGTTAATTGACGCTATAATTCATATATATGCATGAGTCTGTATGCAAAAACTGTGCCAAATGCCGATGATATCTACTACACAGAATACCGAATAATAATTTTTATGAACCGGCCGACAACTTGTTTGCAATTTTGTGTAAGATTTCAAGTTGGAGTTTAGATCAGGTAGTGTATGTGTTTGAGGTATGAAAGGAAGTGTCAGGTTAGAAGTTATCTATTAACGAACTTCAGATCCGACGACGAGTAAGAGTTTTAAAATTGGTCCTGTGCACGTGGTTAACATTAAATCGTAGTCGATTTCCGATTTTTTTACAATCCAAAATTTCAATCTTCGTACGCTTTCACGACTACAAAAAGATAGTGGCTCTCTTTAAAAGCTAAAAACTCGTTCTCGTACTCGTCGTCGGATCTTAAGGTCTCAATTTCTATGTGTTCTGCATGCCTGTGATATACTGAAAAAGAGAAATAAAGTGCGGGTAAGCAGTTTCCCGCCTGCATACCTTTGAACGCCATCTCTTGCGCACACTTTACCAAATTCTGAACACTCTATGCATGCAGGGTCCGGTTATACGAAGTGTGGATAACGCTTTTCGAAGGATAAATCCTTATCCAGTGGATATATTGAAGTCGATGCTGTACAATAAATTTAACCACTGGTTAAAGTACTCGTCTGATAGCGCTTCCGCCCTTCGTACCACGTACAACCGGGCCCAGGGGGAAAGGATACTTTCTACCAGAAAGAAATGTTTTGTGCTTGACCACTCGGGTCTATATCAAAAGCTGGGTATATCTACTGAGTCGAGTTTTGGGACATTGACTCGAGGTCTGAAAAGGAGGATCCGGATCCCGAATCACGCACAATCTTTCCCCGAAATCCCGCGTGCTGCGACATTTTGCTATCGACGATGACCATATTCAACATATTCAAAGGAGTTTGAAATTTTATTTTATTTATTAATATTTTCACGTTATTTATAAGTGTTTTCATCCTGGAGTGCGAACTGGACTTTGAATTCGACAATTTCCGGGTCACTGCCGATGCCAATATCGCGAATCGCGCAAAGATTTTGCTCCAGTTCCCCAGATCCCGCGCTAAATTTTATCYGTTTCCCGGTTCACGTGAATACTCTCCAGACCCTGTTTACTCTGTCAGATAGATAGCCTCTGTATCGTGCTAAAATTTTAATATGTCAAAGGGTTTCCTGCACAGGATGTTGGCTTTCGCAGCAGGATTTAATTATATGATTAACCGTTACCAAGGGGTGACGAGCCCAGCGGTGAGGTCATTAATATGCTAATTACATTCCTCGGGACATATCTTACTCTCGGCGTCCGTCTGGTGAACTCACTCAACCAAATACTAGTACAACTCGTTATAATACTACAACAAAATGACTAACCTCTCTGAAGACCAGATTCTCGAGTTGAGAGACGCTTTCTCTCTGTTTGATCGTTCAGGCCGTGGAACTATTGATCCCAAGACTGTGGTAGATGTGCTAAGGTCAGTTGGTCTAAACCCAATGATGGAGGACATAGAGAAGATGGAGAAAGAACTCGGCAAGAAGCCAGTAAGTTTTGATTCTTTCTTGACCCTCTACGTGTCGTTCAACAAGAAACCTAAAGTAGTGATGGAGGAATTCATCGAAGGATTGCGTGCGTTTGATAAAGAGATGGATGGAACCATGAGCTCTGCTATGCTTCGGAATCTTCTGGTCAGTCTGGGAGATAAACTGACACCAGAGCAGGCTGATACTATCGTAGCTCTACAAGACGATCGTGGTACGATTGAATACGAGAAACTCATTCATAAAGTCATGGATAACTAGTGCGATTTATTAGCGAAGTATTATTCCGTATTATTAAGACCTTGAGTGAACTTCATTGGAAACATCACTTGAAACTTGAAACGGATACGATAAGAAAGCCGAAAGAAATTTCAAGTATTTAAAGGAGCAGTCCCGCTAAATAATCTGGTAAACTGTATTGAACTTTTTTCAATTTAGAGCTTGTTTCTCTGCTGATGATACGCTAGAGCTCAGTGATTGTTTTCAAACTAAGAATTATTTTTTTAGAGCCAATCTTTTGTGTTGTTGTATTGTTTTAAGATCTGATCGCATATGGACTCGTTGATTAAAATTGTAAATTCTAAGGCATGTCGAATCGTAACACAGAAAGATTCACTCAAAATATATAATACTTGTATGTAATTTTAACTTTTAAAATCCGAATCAAGATATTAAAAATTTAGAAATTTTTTTCATCATCGCGTAAAATTTTGGTTTCCCGTAGCGTATTTTGTCTTCCGAGCAAGAATGCATTCCTACAACCGATACAAATGTTTGATTTAAACCATTGTCTTAAGTATGGAGTTTGCATTTTAAAATTCAAGGCAATTCTGTACTAATTACAAACTCTTATAATAATTATCGAATTTCATGGTACATTAGATTTCTTTAAACTATCTTAATCGATGTTCCGTTATAGCTTAACGACGCTGGTACGTAATTCTATTATGTAAATACGACAAGGTTTGTTTGTTGTTACAGCTATGATGGCGAGAAGGGTCCTTGATTAATCCCCTCATATATCGGTATCTCGACAAATTTCTTCTGATTCAAGCGCGTGAACAAAACAAATTAGGATTGGTGTTATTCCCTTCAAAACTGAAACTCTTTTTGCCCGGTTAACGTCGTAGGCCTTTCTAATGAATATCGAGCAGAGTTAATTAGCGGTCACTCTTGAGAAACGACTTTAACGGTCGTATTATACAGGCTGGTCGATTAATAGAAGTTAAGCGTATTCGACCATTTTCTGTGTTTTAGAAACGCAATTTACCCAGAATATGAAATGTTGTTTATGAAAAACTTTAACGGTAATCAAATCCTATTTCAACACACGTGCAACTATGCCCCTCAGTATTGAACTTATTGAACACGGCATATGTTTTAACAATCAAGGTTGGTTTAGCAGGGGGCACTAAATCTCTTATCGCCTCTAAGCCCTTAAATCCTGGACCCAGGGCCGTCGCTAGGACCTTGAAAGGGGAGGCTTGTCTTTTTTACCGATCTTAGTTATGCCATTTCTTGAAAAACTAGAATAGCGCTAAACATAAACCCTACCATTAGTGACGGGCTTCTCAAGACTTGGCATGACATTTGAGTTGAGTTTGTTAGATCTCACTCTCCATTCGAGGGTCTTTCTCTGATTTTTATCCATCAACAAATAAGTTCTGATTTGCTAATTCGATCCTTGAATTAGGCTTGCTCTGAGTTTGATTAGTCCAGAGGCTATTTTCGATTTAAAAAATTCAAAGTTTTCTACTGCGAACATTGAGCGAAAGTAATGGAGATCTTCAGTTTGCAACATTGCGGCGCATAATCTTTTGAAGGTCTTCAACGTTGCGCCCGTAGCAATGGCGTGATATGTTCTCACCCAATAATTACACTCTGTCACTCTTTTTATTTTGAATTTTTTTTCCTGTAAGAAAATTTGTTACGTGTGAGATTCTTTGACTAACTCGAGACTAACTCTGTTGTCGACAGCCATTGTACAAAGCAGTTGAACTCTGCGCTTACCGAGCTTTAATTTAATTTTTCATGTCTGGTCCAGACCTAGTACAGACCTAGTCCAGATGCAGGCCAATCCTTTGATAAATCCTTTGATGTTTTTGGCTGCCTGTGCTACCTACTGACAACTCTGTATCGTAGCTTTGCCTTGCATCAAACTTACAACGAGTTGATTTTGTATTTTTTTGTAAATATTTTATATTTATATTTTTTGATAATTGCCAAGGGAAGGCCAGTGGCAAACACTTGGAGTCCAGATGGACGGGGCACGCTGTGTGGTTTCTTATTAGTTTTAGACGACAGTCACGCACACGTAGAGAGTTTTAGACAACCAGTCTCTCAGTAATAGACCCCTTGCACTGTTTTTTCTCCCAGATGGGAATTAGTGCAAGGAAGAATTGCATTCGTCTTCTATATAGCAATCACGTGAACCTACCTTACTATTGTTCATACGCTAAGCTTCGTTATGCGCAACGGTGTAGTCTGTGGTCCAGTGTATGCAATGTCAGTAAATGCGCAGTTGGAAATGCCGAACATCGCTGTGGCGTGCGACACGGTTCCATATTGGGATCGTTCTTATTTAAATTTCACTGCGCGAAAATGGTATTTGAATACTATTTTGGACCTATTCCAAGCCGACCTCACAGACTACGAATAAGTGGGGAAAAAAGCGAACGTCAAAGTCGCAAGAGGTGATGTAGGGGTTGCTGCAAATGATTGTGACGCACAAGGGGGAGGGGCTAAGGAAAATTAGACACAACCCCCCCGGTCTTTCGAAATATATGTCTGGCTCTTAAGTCGCGTTCTAAACTTAACATTTCCTTTTCAAAAGTTATTGGAACATTTATAATTCCTTATGTAAGAGATCTCTACCTTGGACGTAGTGTTTCCCACTTCAGATCACTTGTCATTCTCTTGAGAATAAGATTCATTTTTTGAGTTGCACCACATTCTTCTTGTTCTCATGCACAACTGGCAAGCAAAAAATAATACCCTAAAGAATGACACATGGTCCGAGATGGGAAAACGTTACGCCCAATGAGAGATCAAGCTATATCGCGTGAGAAAAGAAGATTGGGTTCCCTGTGTCACCGTCATGCACCACACAGGAAACCCAGGTTGACAAGGTGCAGACAAGGTGTCGCAGTGTGAGTTTGGAAAGCATGGACAGCTAACTGGACAATATTCTAAATATATGGTAAGTTTTTGATTACTTTTAATAGTTCCCAGCTATGAATACATATTTTAAACTTCTCTTCTTTTGAAAGCTAGTAGAAAATTAAAGAACACAGGRRAAAAAAAACGGATTCCCAAATTGGGAATTGTTGGGAATCATCCTTGAATTCCAAATTCAAATACCAACGTTGGGATTTGTTGTTGGGAATTTCCTTCTAATACCCAATAGAAAAAACGAAATTCCCAACAAACTAACATTGGGAATCAGTGCCATGTTCCCAATTTCGTTCTCTCTGGGAATTGGATGGAAATTCGTTGGGAATTCAAGGAAATTCCCAACAAATCCCCAATTGGGGAATCCGTTTTTTTTTTCCTGTGGAAAATAGTTGTTGTAAGAGACTTGAAAAAAATACAAGGCTTTCTGCTTTTCCTTCCTTATCTTAATTCCAAATTGATTTTTGAACTTTACCTAGATTTGAGACTGGTCCTGTAGTGATGCACATGTTGCTTCAAAATTTATTGAACCCTGAAAATGTAGTATGCTAGCTGAACTGGACTCTCAAGTGTTTATTCCCAAATTCCCATACATTGGTTGACTTCAACAGAGGCTACAAGGTAGTTTCAAGTGATAATTATTCAAATTTGAACGGCTTGCAGCCTTGACTGTATGCTTTGCATCAACTGATGCAATATTAAGATGGACTACAAGGTGTTACCATCCCTTATTTGGACCATCATTTGGACAGCTGCTTGAATTATCTGAGTAACTTGAGTCATTTTGTCAGAGTCATAAAGTTGCATCTTTGTATGGCATGGAGGTCCAGATAGGGAAACTTCTGTGCCCGAGGTCTTGAATATACAGGTTGAGGCTGATAGTAAGGTCTCTTTTCAAGACTGAGGGCACAGTTTTTTAATTTAAACATATTTGTTCAATACATCAACCCTAAAAGCGAAAGCACTCATCTAGGGGGTATACGTACAACTTTTACACAATAAATAACAAAAGACCTAAAAACAGAAAAACAGTACAAGATTATACCCTCAAAATAAAAAAAAAAAACTCTCTTTTCCACTTGTCATGTAATTTGTTTTGTTGTTTAGCAATCCCTTATCACATGCGCGTGCAGTTGGCTTAAGCAGCCAGGATACTGGGCTGGGGTCAGAGATGAAATTACCACCCCCTCCAACAGCCAATAAGAATGCATGATTTTCAGGATACTGGACTGGAAAAATAAATCTCATTTTTGATATTTACCATCCCTGTCTATCGCCCCATGACTCAATACAGACATGACATTTTCGTACTCTGCTGGAACTCTGGGACACCTGAGTTATGTCCTTGCTTTTCCCCTCGCATTCAGTTTCAGGAACAAACCTACCCAGAAATTGTTGTTTCCTTTTTACCCAAGGTAGCAAATTTTACAAAAAATGCCATCCCTTTTAATTTTGTCTTTGTTAAATTTCTAAATCTATTTTTTCCTATTTTCTACAGTTCTTTTCTTTCCCTTTTTCCTGCACACATCTTTATCTGCTATCTTGTACTTGTCATGATGAGATGTAAGCTGTTCGTTTGGACCTTGGGTTCCTGAAGTACTGTAATAGGGCAACACCAGGAATGAAAATCACTGAAGAAAGTATCAACACCACGATGATGAACACTGACCAGGCAGGATAGGGAAGTACCTGGTAAGTAGCCTGGAATAGCAAGCAATATCTCAATATTCATGCAAGATAAATAAATAAAATAAATCTCTTTATTTAAGTGTCTAGTCATTCTAGCACTTACATACTAATTGGAGACACTTTTTACTCACACTCACTACCACTACATTCAATATCCTATGCACACAAGGCTCAACGCACAAGTTAATTTTTACATTTTATGCATATCTTTTTCAAAGTAGCATAGTTTTGCTTGTGATTTTTTTAGATAATTAAAAAAAATTTTTTTAGGAAATTTTCATATTGACAACCAATGCATAGGCCTTCTCTGAGTTGAATAAATAGTATGCATTCTGGTGTAGCTTGGGTACAAACAGCACTATATATTCCCAAATCTGCTGGGATTCTGAAAGGGGTACCCTGTTTATGACAAAAAAAACTCAATTTTGTGGACCCTGTTTATGATAAAAGATATAATTTATTGCAATGAGTTACTGTTTCAATTATCATGTTGTCTCACGTATCGCTTTTTTATGACCATAACAACCAGTTTTGGTCAATACAAAAGTAGAATCCCTGAATATGACAGTAAACTCAGGAAGAACTTGGAACTTGAGTGAAATTGCATACCCTGTTTATGATAAAAAGCTCGAAAGACCATACCCTGTTCAGCAGATCTTTCACCCCCCCCCCCCTGGGAAAATTATGCCCAATTTTCGTTATCTCAGGAAAGGTTTTATCATGCCAATATCAATCTCCTGTGAATCTTTCCTTTAAAAAAGGACGTCTCACCAGTCCTTCATTCCAAGCATAGTACACTGCTTGTCCTCGTGACATCAACACGATGCTTGACACTAGGATGGTTGTCATGGCAACAGGAGTGATAAACATCCAACAAACTTTCCAGAACATTGCTGGTTGTCTGCCTGTCATGAACTCAATATCTTCTGAGAACCTGGAAGAAAAGGATCTTGTATGAAAATCTTAAATATGAGAGACGTCTGTCTGTCTGTCTGTCTGTCTGTCCAACTGTACCCACATATCAATGTCAATTACTAACGAATGTCTGACTAGCTATACCTGACCTATTGATGCCATGTAACAGTTGTTTGTCTTGTCTGTCTGACCATTTTTACCTACCTGTCAATGCCGTAGATATAGCAGACACCAACACACTCCATAATAGCAATAAACAACAAAGGAAGATTAGCACAAAAGCTATCAAACATCTGCAGGACGTATTCTCCTATGGTAGTGACCATGCTGAATCCCATGCACATGGAGAAAATACACAGCAGACCTGGAAACAATATGGTCATAAATACTGATTGTTACCATGGTAATTCTTTATTATCATAAAAATTACCTACTTTACATCTTCGTTACATGGATGAAGCTTATCTGTGTGGTATTTATTAGCCATTTCAAGCTTGAGGAAAAAACTGGGTTGAGTTGACATTGCAATGCATTGTGGGACTATTTTAGGGGTCATATTTTTAAGATGGCATCTATTGTCCCCACAAAGAAAAAGAGTCCCATAGTAGACCCCTGGGGGGGGGGGGGTACTCTTGCCTGTTTAGGGTAGGGATATGCCGCTGAGCCCACTGAACCCTGACCGACCCTGACCCTGTTCCAGAGTAAAATTGCTGAAAATCATACCCTGTTCCGGTATTGCGAAAATAGTTCCCTGGTCCAGAGAGGAGAGAGCGTGATTTCATATACCCTGTTCCAGAGCGAGCGCGATTTTATATACCCTGTTCCAGAGTAGAATCGCTGAAAACCATACCCTGTTTGGCGGCACATACCGGTATAGCAAATATAGGGGAGTACCCCCCCCCCCCGGAGTCGACCCATATTAGCATACTCTTATCAGAACACATCGCTTGCTTGCAATCCAGTGGGCTTTATATTTTAGACTTATAGTAGTTTAAAGGTTAATCAGAACACACCTGCAAGCAGCTCTTTCCTTATGTTTTTGAACCCCATTACATCTTGTAAAGCGGTTGTAATGCTCTCTAATGCCCCAAAGAGACTATCTAGGCCCAAGGAGAACAACATAAGGAAGAATATGACAGACCAGAAGTTGGATCCTGGCATTTGGTTAATGGCATCTGTGAAGGCAATGAAGGCCAGTCCTGGTCCACTTGCTGCCTGTAATAAAACCAAAAAACCCTCAATTTTAGCTTTCACTTATTAAATATCAGGAAATTGAGTGCACTTTGTTTTTCTATTTCACACCATGTGTCATTCCCTTGATATTATTATTTCTTTACCAGTATGGCTTGAAAAAGTACATCAGCTGAGTACCATGTAACACACCCACTCCTTCAGCAAACTATCTTCCCTCCACTTGGTCATGAAGCTACATTTTTTTCTAATTCTATGTCGATTTCAAGTTTTATGTCCACATTTTCATTACTCATCTCATTGCCCCATTTTTTCATTATACATCAGCTTGAAAATCCATTTGCACTAACCCATTCCTTTAACCCACTCCTAATCAAAGTATAGTTAACTACCTACCTCAGTCAAAAACTTCTCAATATCACACTTTGGAAGAGCATCTATCACAGCTTGAGTAGTATTTCTAATAATCGAGTTCTTTTGATCTGATGGCATTGCAGTAAAATTCATATTTTGTATAGTAGAGTTCAGGTTCATCATTCCTAAGCTTCGCTTTTCCTCGCATTCAGCCATCATAAAGGAAGCCCTAAAAGCGTCAATGGATAAGTTGCGTGACTATCACGGAATTGCGTGACTCTGACTAAAACATTCGAGCGTGACTCAAACGTAAAGTATATATGCGTGATATTCGTACCACTCGTGCATTAGGCTTGCACTCTCTTGACTCCAAATCAACACCATTTACGTGACAGTGCTTTGCGTGACAGTTTGGTATTTCCATAATGCTGAACGTTCAGGCTGTCGTTGCCAATTGCAATGCATAAACATTTGCGTGACATACACATAAGTGTCTTACCTGAATCCTAATATTGAGAACACCACGATACTAGCAAACAAGGATGTCATGCAATTGGCTAACGATATGGTCACGGCGTCACGCAAGGTATTTTCATGCATGGGGTTGTAGCTGGCGTAGGCGATGATGGTCCCAAAGGCCAAACCAAGTGAGAAGAATATCTGAGTAGCTGCATCCAGCCATACTAAAGGATCCAGTAATTTCTCCCACTGTAGAATAGAGATAGAAATAGTTATAAAAATGATATATTAATAGGATATTCTCACTTGTCTCCAGGTTGTATGTGGAGTCGATTTCGTTTTTGTAGTTATATAGTTGCAGGCGATATGTTGTATGTATGTTTTAACATTGTCATTTTGTCATTTCTTGTGTCCAATCTACTAATATGTTTGTCGTATGCCAATTTCCTAATATGTGTGTCGTAAATCGTGTGTTGAATATCGTAATATTTGTGTCTTATGTCTAGTGTCCCATGTCCCTCTATCTGAGTCGTACGTATGTCTTGTGTCAAGAGAGCATAAATAAGAGAGGGAAACTTCTTTATATCGCGCGCGCCATGTAAATTGCTAGTTGACGCACAGGAGAAGGGTAAGGTAAAATTTAAACTGCATCCGGTTTCTAAAAATAGCCCAACCAGGATTTTACATGGCGCGCGCGATATTAAGAAGTTTCCCTTTCTTATTTATGCTCTCTTCCTTGGGTTGAATGTCCCTCTGTTTGTGTTGAGCGTCTGTTTTCATGTCTTCTATGTGTCTTGTATGTTTATCATACGTTCCGCATAGTTATCATCTAGGTGGTTTGAGAACAGCCTAGTTCGCGGTGTGTCTTACTCTTGAGGTCACAGCACAGGGTAAACTAACCAATGAGAAAAAACTGTATTCAAGATACCCCATCTAGGTGTTTTGAGAACAGCCTAGTTCGCGGTGTGTCTTACCCCTGAGCTCACGGCACAGGGTAAGCTAACCAATGAGAAAGAACT